TTTAGGACTGGATCATGTGATCGGCGTTGCACCTTTAGGACTGGATCATGTGATCGCCGTTGCACCTTTTAGGACTGGATCATGTGATCGCCGTTGCACCTTTAGGACTGGATCATGTGATCGCCGTTGCACCTTTAGGACTGGATCATGTGATCGCCGTTGCACCTTTAGGACTGGATCATGTGATCGCCGTTGCACTTTTTTGAATATTTTGTGGTGCGTACATTTGAACGTTCTGCTCGGTGTGTATTATTATTTTTGTACTTTTTTTTTCCCGGCTGTCTTTGAACTTTCTGAGATAGGAACCTCCTCTTTCTTCTGCTCAGGAAGTCGGCTCACCGGATCTTCAGTGACATGAACTCCAGGGAAACGGTCTGAATAATATACAGAGGAACAAGGGCTCAGTGTTTGAGGGGCTTTAACCCCATCCTGGCTGTGGGCGCTCTGTGAGGCCTAAACTCCACAGTGATGGGAAATCCCAATATTCTAATAGGGGATGAAATGTATCCAGATGAGTCCGAGTTTTTATTTATCTCTGCGATGGAATAATGGGGAATGTGGAAATGAGGAGAGGACTCTGACAGTAGGAGCCCCGCGCCTCCCATCATGCTGGTTGATGTGGGGCAGGTTAGGAGGAGCTCCTGACCATTGTGGGAGCAGCCATTCGTCTGGTGACGGCTGATGTGTGTGTGTGTGGTGATGGCTGATGTCTGTGTGTGTGTGTGTGTGTGTGTGTGTGTGTGGTGACGGCTGATGTCTTTGTGTGTGTGTGTGTGTGTGTGTGTGTGTGTGTGTGGTGACGGCTGATGTCTTTGAGGGGCACACAGAATGATGTGTTCAGCCTGGATTGTCACCTCTCACACTTGCAGCTGCTCGGCTCCTGTCCTGGCCGGAGGAAATTTTCTGAGCAGCTAAAGTCTTATATTTTTTTTATGGTTGACCTCAAAACGAGATCCCTTTCCAGGTCCAGAGGAAGATTTGAGCATTAGCTGACTCGTACGATGAGGTCATCATTTTTAAGGACTTTATATGAACTCTATCAAGTAGGGTTCAGTATTGGGTTGGCTCCGCCCTTTGCCGCTATAACAGCTCCGCCTCTTCTGGGAAGGCATCCACAAGGTTTAGGAGTGTGTCTATGGGAATGTTGTAGTCCACATCACAGCTGTATACAGTAATGGATGAAAAACGGAGGTTGGAGAACCACTGAGAGCTAAGGGGGGGGACCCAGATTCCCACCAAAAACTGCCAAACCAGTGGTGAAGCACCATGAGGCATGCTCCAAACTTGTGACTGTTTCCTCAGTCAGTTGTCACCAGAACAGGAGGTGAGGGGAAGTCTTCCAATGGGGACACCTGTTCTGGTGGTATGAGAGGAGGTTTCTTCTCGCTTCCTGTTGCCTCTCCAGGACAGGAAGTTAAAGGAGAACTATGGGGTCAATGTTTTTCCCCATAGTTCTCCTTAGGGTAACGGGAGGACACAAACTAGCGTCCTCCCGTCACCCTAAGCTCAGTATATAGCAAGCTACAGCTCGCTGTATACTGAGACGCCGGAGCGGATCCCGACGTAGATGACGGGATCCGCCCAGCTGCGTGAGTGACAGCTGGCTCTGCCTATCTAGAGGCAAAGCCAGCTGTACCCGCCCCCTCCCCCGTCCGTTCCGCCAGTCAGCGCTGGCGGATGGGAGGGGGGAATCCAGCCCCTCCACCTGTCACGGCAGAGAGCCGTGACAGGATTGAGAGGTGAGCGAACGCCGGTATGTGTTCGCTCACCCCCCGATCTACTGAGCCGACCTGTGACAGTCTCATTGTCACAGGTCGGCTAGAACTATGAGGCTGAGTGAAAAGCCCCTCCCCCCTCATAGTTCTCCTTTAAGGGAAATCTCCCCAATGGGACTTAGGGGTTTTAATCCTTCCCTGTTGTATCCAAAACTAAGTGTTCCAGGCACCCCCAGAGACTGTCCAAGGTCGCCCCCAGTGCATGTCTCGTGCCCTCCCGGTGAAGGTCCCTGCAGAGACAGGTTTGAAGTGCAGGATCTGTACAGCATTGAGGTCAGGCTGTTGCACTCTGCGAGTGATAAGTGTGGAATTCTCTGCTCGGCTGTGGAGGAATGTTCACACTCGTGCACACACCCACTCCACCCTGACACATCTCAGCTTGTCCAGCTCCCTCGCCCATCCACGGGAATTACTAGTTTATGGCGGACAGGAGCGCTCGATGGGGAAGAAGTGCGTCAGGCCGCGCCCGCAAGACGCCTGTCAGGGTCTACAAGAGGTAACGTACCTGGCTGCGTTGTCACTCCTCTGCTGTGCTGCGCGGATCCTGCAGCTCAGAACCCTCAGATCATAGACGCAGCATTGGGGGGAAGAGATGATTGTCCGTGTCGGGCGGTAGATTTACAATTGTTCTAATTAGCGATGTTCAGATACCAAGTGCCGTACTCTGTACAACTAGAACTACAAGTGCAGATACGTTTCCAGCTCCAAGACTGGACGAGAGAAAAATGTAAAACTTAGGAGGCGGCTGTCATGTGTAAGGAGCACACGGAGCTCCCGGGATTTGTACATCCCTGTGTTTAATGTATGATTTGTTTTATGTAAATCTATATAAGGGATGCGCCAATGCCAATTCTTCAAGTACTGATACTTTCCAAGTCCATACAGATACAATTTTTGATACATTTGTGTTTATTGTCATGTGACAGTTTTTCTAAAACAATACAGACTAATGATTTCAGGACAGTGGTGGAGCCCCAGAGCCCGGTCCCAGCTGCAACCGCTGCAATCCTGGGAGTTCTCATGAAAATGCCGACTATCTGCACTGGTATCTGAACATCCCTAGTTCTAATTTTAAAAGTAATTTATTGATAAGGAAATCCGCTCTTTTCTGTGGAATCGCTCACCTGCTCATTGTTATAGTGATTTGTAGTTCAGCAACTGAGTTTGAACTTTGTTTCAGCTACAAGATGGCTCTGAATCCATCTCATTGGCTACAAATCTCTGGAGGAGAGTCACTTGTATCAAAGCGCACCGACCCAACGCTGTAGTGCCAGTTTAACGTGAAGCGGTGACCCAAAAGTGGTTTACGACCCCGTGTTCAGTAGGTCACCGCATACCTTAGGGAGACTGGGTGGACCTTTTAAAAAGAAAACATTGTGTGTGTGTGTGTGTGTATATGAGATGTGTGTGTGTGTGTGTGTATGTGTGTGTGTGTATATATAT